CTGTTATATCTCGAACGGTCACACAAAGGAATGCAACAGGGTCCAAGAGAAAAGCTAAATACTACTCGACTGGCCGAGTAACGAACAGCGAGCCAAATGACTAAGACCTTTCAAATTAGCCGAATGACGAACGGTCTCATAGAGAATTAGCAAAAATCACACTAAATTACTGGTCACAAAACTGCTATGTCCTAAAAAATGATCTGAAGCTCGAACGGCTATTGACACAAGAGGGAGGCCAAATGCGGGTAAATTGGAGGAAACATCTGAGGCCAGAAAAAACTGCTAAGTCCTAAAAAATGATCTAAAGCCCAAACGGCTATCGACACAAGAGGGAGGCCAAATGCGGGTAAATTGGGGAAAACATCTGAGGCCAGAAAAAACTGCTAAGTCCTAAAAAATGTACCGAATCCTGAATGGTAAGCAATAAATCAAGAAAGGCAATATGAGAAGCTTTGTGCAAAAAAGATGTGTATTCATCGGCTCTACTGACCGGGAAATACATGCTACTAAAAGAGAAGAAATTACAATGATTAACAAAAAATTAAAAGTCTAGATTACTGGCCAGGGGCCGTCTCTTCTCCATCTTCATCTTCGTCTTCATCATCATCAGATGGGGGTTCAGGCTCTCTCCCGGCAGCCCGATCAGCTTCCCGCTGCAGATTTCGCTGGAATTTTTCAAATTGGGCTTGTACAACTTCGTCCTGGGGGAGATCAGAAGCTTGAACCGGCCTCCCAAGTTGATTCTGAAGTTGATCCACAAAAGGACGTAGCAGGACCTGGCCGATCTTGGCATAAAGATCCGAAACAATGGAGTCATTCCACTTCTTGCTCTCAGGATCCTTATCCAGAAGATCCACCCCCGCCGAGAGCCGACCAGCACCCCTAGGAAAACCCTTCAGGTAAGCACCAAACGCAAACGGGATTTGTTTCCTGGCGTAATCATCCTTGATGGTGGAGAACTCATCAAAGGATTTGAATGATTCCCGGACAGCGGATAGATCCACATTCACCTCATATGTGCCGTCCGGGATGCTAGAGGGCATCTCCTCAAATTTGATCTGCGCGGCCTCGGCAACGAAGACCTTAGCCTGGGAAGCAGCAAGTTGGACCCGGAGGGTGCCAAGCTCAGTATCCAGCCTCTGCTTTTCCTCCGCAAAGGCTTTCCGTTCGGCCTCCAGAGATGTGATGGCAGCAACAACATTTTGCTCAGCAGTGGACTGAGCAACGATCAAATCCCGTTCCTTAGCCAAACGGGCCTCCCGCATTTGCAAAGTATACAATCCCATATACAAAGCGCCGATCGGAAGTTAATAAATGATAACGAAGAATAGAATGAGAATGAAGCACAAAAGATAATATACCTTCAGTGCAGTCAGGGCCAGGCACTCTTCGGATTGTTCGACCGGTAGTTGGGGAAGTGAGAAATTATTAAACCATGAGGATGTTGACCAGATCTGGCTCGCGGAAGAACCAGCTTTCTCTAACACCTCATGAACAGGATCCGACAGAGAGATCCGTTCGACCTGACCAGTGATATGGTCGGTATGAATCTCGCCTACACCCGAGGTTGCACCCTGAACAGACTCAAAGTGTTTGGTAAACTGGTGCAGCTGATCAGAACCAAATCGGTCATCAATCATCATGGCATCGTACTGATCCTGACAAGAAAATTGTTGAATAGGCTCCGGTTGCTGAACGGCCGGTGCAGGTTCGGTTTGTGGAGCAGTGGTAGTGGGTGAATCAACCTTAGGGTTTTTCTTCATCTTTTTCTTCCTCTTCCCGACCCCGCCAGCAAAAAGCACACGACTGTCATCCATGGTGGCGTCTGTATTGGGAGCTGAAAAATGACAAAGGAAAATGTTAGTACCGAGCGGCCTTAGCATGTGAGAAACTAGAAAATAGAAGAGAGTGTTTCTCGCACGGAAAGGACCGCCCGGACCATGGCACTTGATTCTCAAAACAAGTAAACCCAAGAGAACGGGCAGTACCTATCCCGGCTTTAACAAGCCGATCGGGAGTCAGGTAGGTCATGATATCGCAACACTTGTCTTTCTCCACAGCGAGTACATCCTTGTACATTTCCTTAGTAAGAACTGGGTCGGGAGTCTTGCGAGGGAAGGCGTTCCATTTACGAGGGATCAGCCCGTCCGGGACAGACACAAAGAAGAACCTATCTTTCCATCCCTTGATTGAGGTTGGATTGCCCTTGAATAGAATATGTCCCGTTCGAGAACTAGCGGCTAGATACCCATGAGTTTGTTGGGGGGCTACTTTAAAAAATTGATGGAATAAATCTAGGGTCGGCGAGGCACCGACATCTTTGCAACGGCAAATAAAGCCCGCCATTGCCCGATAGGAGTTCGGCATGACTTGGGCAGGTACAATTTCGTAAAAATTGAAAAATGAAACAAAAAAGGAGTGTAATGGAAATCTAAGCCCAGCCCTAACTGAATCGAAATGGACTACGACCATCCCGGGGGCGTGACGCAGGGGGTGAAGCCCAGCTCGCAATCGGAACTCCAATGGGTCTGGGATTAGGGCCGGAATTTCGGCCCTATTGTTAGCAGTCAATTTTTGCCGTCTTGCCCTAATTAAACTTAGGTCGAGCGTATGACGGGGGACATCGTTTGGGCGTCCAGCCGCCATTAAACCCATTTCATCCTCGGATTTCGTGCCATCAGAGTTTTCACCGGAGGAAGATGAACTGCTAGAAATGTCCTCCTCCGCCCTAGTATTTGTCGCCGTTTCAGTAGAACCGCCGGCGAACGGAACTTTAATGACGTCCACAACAGCAGCATCACGGTCATCCCCTTGAGAGGCCATTTCCGAATCAGGGGAATGCGGTTGAGAACTCATCCCGACCAAGCCAGAAATGAGGTAAGAAAGTAGAGGGAGGAAAAGTACCTGAACACGAAAGCTTGAAGAAATTTCAGAGACAGAGCAACGATGCGAAAGAAATTGAAGATTCGAAACCTAGATTGAGGAGCTAAAGGCTAATTTATAGCCATAAAACCGCCGTATCGAGGACCAATCAGGAAGCGACACGTCACTAGAACCATTTAAGCTAAACGCGTGTCTAATGAAAAGGCAAACGACAATAAACATGACAATTATGGGGAAAAGCAAACGATAGCCGTCAAATCACAGTATGAGGGAACTGACCACTTCTGTACCCCGATCGCCATTCGGCAGTTGCAACATTGGTGTTTATATTTCCTAATGCACTCACTGTCATTCGAGACATCGGAAGTGGGGGACTTGTGTTGGGATATTGACCCGGAGGCCCAATACCCGGATTAAAAAGGCTCAGAATATCTAGCCCAAACAACGAGTCCATTACCCTATGATGAGTAGGCCCAGTGAAGAATCCATACCGAACGAGGTTCGGTCCGAGTAGAGGCCGGCCTAGAAAGCAGAAATACCGAACAGAGTTCGGATCATACATCATACTTGGGCCAATTTGACAGCGTCTTCCGCATGGTCCAGCATCCCGTTCGAGCAATGGGCAACCAGCAAGTGGCCAGGTGCAATTAATGCCAGATTGTGACATCAGCAAGTGGAAACATGGGTGATCAAGTCGGTGAAACAACAGCCAATCAGCATTGAGCAACACATGCTCTCCATTAGTATAAATAGAAGGTTTAATATCATTGTAAGGGTTAGCATTTTGATACTCAAACTCTAGAATATCATTATTACTCTTGTTTCTTGTATTAAAAGCACTGTTCCGACGTACCGATCGGGAAGTTTCCTTGTAATCAAACAGATTAATTAATACAAGTGAGCTTTTGGGTATTAGTTGATTCATCTTTTATATTTTATTATACACTTTGATTCTGATCCATTCCTGATATATCCAAAGTTCGTGTTGGGCTTTCGGATCTGCGGGACTTAACCTCAACAATCCTCTAGGTTTCTCGTAAATATATATCGTAAAATGAGTTTGGTTGTACACTTATATATTGAATAATTATATTTGTAATTGTAATAATGAATACGAAGAAAGAAATTTAAATGTGGATCTTATATGTTGTTTTCCTTTTTGTTTCTCTTTGTTGCATTTTCTTGTATTTGTAGTATATTGTTTCTTAAGTGTCCGGTTTTTATTATTTTTCTTAATTTTATAATTTATGCTTTCATTTTTTTTGCTACTTTGGTACAAAGTAACTATATATATGTGTGTATAATAAAAAATTGCAAATATCAGGGAGAAACCTAAATAAACAAAATATGAAAATTCATCAACAAAAAGAAACAAAAGGAAACACAAAGAAATCATATAAAAAAAATGCAACAAAAGGCAACATAAAAACAACAACAATACTAATTGTATTAAAAATATTTATTTATTTTTTAAAATAAAGATTTACAATTTTAGAGGCCGTTTGGCAACCCTCATTTTCGGCTTATCAGGCTTATCAGCCAACTTTTTTACCAAACACGTAAATTTTGCTTTCGCGCGCTGAATTGTGTAATAAGCCGAAAAAGTAAGGTTGAAGTTACTTTTTTTGACTGTATTGGCTGAAGTTGATGACCATTTTAGCTATTTTTACATATAATTTTTTCTTTATTCTATTAATAAAATATATTTTAAAAATATTTTTTTCTTGTATCAACAGAATCAGCCAATGCAGCCACTTCAGCCAGAACTTCATAAATTTCAGCAGAATCAGCCAAAAATTGCTTCAGACTCGAGGAAGTTGAGCAGACATTCGTAAATTTGTTCCTTTCATTGATTCAAAAGGTGAAATCTCCCACCACAGGAGCCCCCATCCCGACCCGACTTTATTTCAGGTTCTGTGATCCCACCCGGTCGCCATGGGGATTGGAACTAAAGAACCAAATCTCTCACGACCCGGTAGACCACAGCACGCCTTGTCAGTTGTCGCCTACTCGCCTCACGCTCTTCGCCCGGTCCCCTGCACTCCGCCTCTAACCCTTCGGCCGTTCGGCCAATCAAAGATTTAAAAGTAAGGCCTATATTCATTTAAAAAATTAGATCCTTGGAGCTGTATGAAGATATAGATTAGAAAAAACCAAAATTTACCTGGAAATCTGGAAGTGTTTGTTTAACAGAATTCCTTACATAAAATATATCTATATTGAAATTTGAAAAGATGTTTAGCTTTCTCAAAGAAAGGTCAATTTTTGCAAGATATGCGTTTCTTTTCATTTGAGTTGTTCAATTCATATGCTTCTATAACTTTCTGAAACATTAAAAGTTTAATTTTCAATGCAGGGGAAAAATCAATGATAGCAAGTTGTATTGAAAATTTTAATATAATCAAAGCAACACTCGAGTAAGTAATAAAGGGTATAAATTACATTATTTCTTCACTTTTTATTTCATTTTTAACAGACTTAATGTCAAGCAACGATTAAGTTTTCTAAATACGCTACTTCAGTTTCATTTTGGATTCAAAGGAAAACCCACTTTTTGATTCTTCCGTTTTCTACAGTTGTGAGAGTGGAAGCGCAAAATGCATTCTTCCGGGTTCAGAGCCAACGCGTTGCTAACCTTTGCCGTCACCATCCTGGCGCTATTGTGCGCCATCGTCTCTTTCTCTGACAACCTCAACTCTCCCACTCCCATAGCCCAAGTCCAGGTACTTGTTTTGTGTTAGATACTTATACAGATCTAGAAGTGATAGTTGAACTTGATTTTCGGAAACCCTAGATTGCTGATCTGTTGGTTATATTATTTAAAATTTAGGTATTGAATATCAATTGGTTCCAGAAGAAACCTGACGGTGATGATGAGGTAATTTTTCGTCCTTCTCAACTGATGTTCACCATCACGTTGAATTATTCCTTTTAATTTGTGGAAAGAATGGATAGGGTATATGTCTTGTAATTAGAAATTCAATTAGATAATCTATTGTGGGGCTTGGGTCGGTAGTCAATGTAATGAGGTTAAGAGGTTTAGTATGTGTTCATGGCCATGAATCATACAAACAATAAAAGTAGGTTTTTTACCCCACAATTTATTGTGATTCTTTGTTTTGTTTGACACTTGGACATCTTGAGTGGTGCTGGATACATATGGGGGAACTGAGGGTCTAATGAATCTGAACTTTGTGTGTACTCACATTCTCTCAATGCGAGCAACCAATACTACAAAGATTTACATGTAATGGTGGCTGAATACATTTTGAACAAATGATTTGAAGGTGTGAGCGTGTGACTCTAATTTGGCGTACTTTTTTCTCCCTAAAAACTGTGAATTATGAGCGTTATCTTTGTATAGAAACCTTGTGTCAAATTTTAACACATCGACCTTTGTCTCATAAAATATTTTTTATATACTTTCGTATTCTAACTTGTTATTTTGCATGCCATGTATTGTTTATGTTTTATATGTATGCACCACATAAGAAATTATACGGATAAACTCATAAACTTACCACAAGATACATGTTGCTTTAGTTATGGCCTTCTCAAGTTTGAACCCCCGGTTCTGTCCTTGGATGTGAGCCTCATTCTTTTCAAGTTTTAAAAAATCTAAAAGTATACTCTGTGTTACAAAGAGATACTCTGCACATACACAATGATTTTCTGGACACCCTCTATATCTTTTTCTATACTATCTTCTTCAAACTGGCAAACTGCCTTTTGAAAAATCTGAACTATTTTCAAATTACTTCATGCACCCCACATTTGATCGTCCTCTTGAATTTGTTTGAATCTTAATCGTGGTCATCATGTGAAGTGTTCAACTAGAAAAATTAGCTCATTAGAGGAAATCAGTGTTCTTGAACATCATGCATAGAAAATTACCACAATGATTTCTTCGTTAGAATATATTTCATGTAGTACTCTTTTGGTGCCTGTTAATGCGAACTTGAAGTATCACATAAATGTTATTTGCTGATCTTGGTGTGTCTTGACCACATTTCTCTATTATGGGTGGGTGGCTATGTTTTGTTCTATGCAGATCAGTGTGACACTCAATGTATCCGCAGATTTGCAGTCACTATTTACCTGGAATACGAAACAGGTTTGTTAACATTATACACCTTTTTGTTCTAGTGTTATGGCTTCTCTCGTACTTACTATACACCTTTATTGTTATGTTGTATACGTGTATGCCTTTTTGGGATCACAATCTACATGCAAGATGACCTTTTAAATATTTTATTTACCATTTATTCTCATCAAACCTCTTTTATTAGGATGTACTCCATTACCTTTATCATCGAATCTCTAAAATGATAGAGCTTGTGTTATTTGTGATTGGATTTCTAAAGAATAGTAGTCTTTGTTAAAGCACAAAGAGACTGTTTCCGGATGACCCACAGTGAAAATCGCGTCAAAAATTGCATGGACCGACTGTTGAATAAACAATGAGCCCATTTGATTTAATTCCTTCATATTCCCAAGCCAAAAAATAATGAGTCTTTGGCTCCATTGCAAATGATGGAAAAGTTTATGAGAATGTAAATTGTTAACCTGTATATTTTTAAGAACACTATTTTTGACATAATAGTATGATGGAATAAAACAAAATGACTCACTAAACTGTCTGCGCTTCTTTGTTATGAAGCATCAGTCAGTCCATGCAATTTTCAACTCGATTTTCACTATGAGTTATCCGGAAACAGTCTTTGGTAAGACTGTGTACATCTGACCCCCCCTCACCCCATTGAAGGTGGGAGCCTTCGCGACACGGGGTAATGATCAGGGGTGGAGACAGGGAGGGGCTGGAGGGGGCCTCGGCCCCTGCAAGAATTTTTTTTAAGTATATATTATATATAAATACATTTAATCTATAGAAAGTATGTTGATATTTTAAACTTTGGCCCATGCAATGTAAAATTTTTAAGGACCGGCCCCTTTAACCATAGATTTTTGGCTCCGCCACTGGTAATGATGATGATGAGTATGTCAAAACCAACTTGTCGAGTATATAATTATTAATTACGCATACACATAATAAGTATGAATGGTATGTTATATCTACGTGTTGAATAGAATTGCAGTCTGGTTTGCAGTGCACATTTCTTGTGGGTTTTGCAATTTTAATTATACTGCACACACATATTTGTGATTCTTGATCAATGATAAACTCGCACAACTTGGTACTTGAACTATAGATTTCTTGTCTGTAGGTCTATGGTAAATTCTATTTGGAGTATTAATTGTGTAGTCTCTTTAAACATTTCCAGGTTTTTGTATTTTTGGCAGCTGAATATGAAACCCCAAAGAATGCCCTGAATCAGGTATTTTTTTGTTTTACTATTGTCAACAATGAATCAGGCAATTTCAATTCTGTTGGATGGGTTGTTGGTAATTCAACTTATTTTCCATCGTACATCTAATATACCCCCTGAGATATGTACAAAAATTACACTTGAAGATCAACAACAACATCCAAGCCGTAGTACCAAAAGAGTTTGAGGTCTACTAACATTAATCGACATATGCAATCGGAGCTGAAAAGTATAAAAATTTAAAAAAAAGATAAAAAAAAAGATAAAAGAAAGATATAAGGATAAAAAGATAAGATAGAGATAAAAAAAATAAAATAAAAAGAGTTAAAGAACATAAGAAAGTTAAAAAAAATTACATATACCAAAATCCGCTATATCAAAATTACGTAATTCTGATAAAAGATTATTATCGATATGGCGGATATGCTGATTTTGTTACACTGGTTGATTAGGTAGCCGACTTCAACTTCGATGAGCTTTGCTATGAAAATACACACCCTAGTTACAAATTCCTTATATTTTCTCAAAATACACACCAAAGAGTAGTCTGATAGACATGGGTTCCTCTTGTGCACAATCCAACTCATGATAACGGGAATAACAAACAATGGGTATTTACAAACTAGTGATGTATCCTTTAGTCTTTAAATCCATTTATTTCGTAATAGTTAAATGATTTGTTGTATAGTTTATATTATGTAGAGTAATTTTTCTTTTGCATTGCAATATTTAAAAGTAAGCGTACTACTCATTATATCAAAGCCTAATCAAGTTGTGAACAATTATGCGTTATGTTAAATATGCTACTGAACATGTTGTGCAAAACCAATATTTTCTTTTTGATTGTGATGTTATAAGTTAATACAATGATGTAAGTGTGATCTTTATATTTTGAAAATGATGTTTTAACTTGCCCATTCATGGATTCATTTGAATTGTTTCCTCCATCTGACCTACATGGTCTTGTAAAAGGTTTCTTTGTGGGACGGTATAATACCTGCTAAAGAGCATGCAAAATTTTGGATCCACACAAAAAACAAGTACAGATTCATTGATCAGGTTAGGCACCAAATCTGTTTGATTTTAATGCATATTTGTCTTTTTGCTGCTTATAACGGTTTTCAAGATCATGTTTTTAATAATGCTTAGGGAAGCAATCTCCGTGGCAAAAGCTTCAACCTTACATTGCATTGGCATGTTATGCCAAAGACAGGCAGAATGCTTGCTGACAAACTTGTTATTCCTGGCTTCTTCTTGCCAGAGACATATAGATGAGTCTGGTGTTTGGTCATTTTTAATGTAATTTTTTGCACCATCACTTGATGGAATGAAGACGGTTTCCAAGACATTAGGCTGGAAAGAAAGGTTAAAGGATGTGTAACAACAGAACTCCATTGACAATTTAAATGTTACATTTTGATCTTGTTTGGTTTGGGGGTTAGGGAGGAAGGGCTGGAATGGTTAAATATGTTCCACTAGTTCCACTAATTTATCTATACTACATTTATTAGTGTTGATAAGAGTATTAGTCTTGGGCTGGAATGATAAGAGAGAAGTGAGAGCTAGAGAGAAAGTGAGCAATTAATATTTTTCAACCCTCTATAACTGCACCTAGGGGCTATTTACACGGAAAATGTGGGTTTGGACTTCTAGGTCTTGGGCTTGGGAGGCCCAGTACAAAATTAGGCCTCTAATGGGTTATGAGACCCATTAGACTAGTACATGATTTATGAGACTAGGTGTAAAATCTATTTTGTCGGAGTCTTTTTGTCGATGGAGTACCAAGCCGAAGGAGGGCTTGGCTGACGGAAGATGCATTCTTGTTCCTGGGCTTCTGGACTATATTCTGAGATTCATTGAGTTTGATGATGGAGGGTCATTTGGCCGATGAAGGGCCATGTGGGTGCCAGTTCTCTTTTGTATTTGATCCTCTGAGTGTGTGGGTCATGGGGTCTGAGCCTATATACTCTATCAGGAGTCCCCCACTCTCTGAGCTGAGATGTAGACGAAATGAAAGGGAGTAAATTACTGTTGTTTTGATGTTTTTAGCCGTCGTGGAACCATGTGTAGTTGATATTTTGCTCTTCTCCTCGTATTTGGCTGTTGCGCGGTCCGCGGGCTTCTTTGGATGATGTTGTTGGCGTTGTTTGATGGATGATGTAGATCCACTGCCTTTGTTTCTTGGGGACGATGTAGTGTGATCATTTTTTTTGAGGATATAGTGTGTCCCTTGTTCTTCACTCTCCTTTTTCCGTGTTCTAGCTTTGGTCGAGATTGGACCAGATTTATGTGGACGTTGTGGTGTCAATGGCGTGGTTTAGTTTTTTATGGACAACAGAGCATGATCTTTACTTTCCTTTGATTAGTTTTGGAGCTTTTCCTAAAAAGTTGGAGGTCGATATAGTCCCTCAGTCCTTCATGCTGAAGAACATGCTAGGTGTGAAGGAGTAAGGTAGCGTCCTAGGTCGACGCGGAACTTTCACATTCCTCATGAATCTAACCTCTTGGTGATCTCTGACTAAGGTAACCCTGTGGGAGAACCCTTGGACGAAGGTCACAGGCCAGAGTCTATCATCAATGAGTTCTGTACGGAGGGTCGAGGGCTTTGGATTGTACCTTACCATAGTTTTTGGCCGATGAACTGCCGATTTTGGTCGCAGAGCTATTTGCATGTTTTGTGGTCATTGTTTGGCTCATTGTTTGCGGCTGATTTGGTCGGAGTAGGTGCACCTGTTTGAGAAGTTGAATTGTTGGTTTCTGATTGGTTCTCATGGAGGCGACCGTTAGCGTGGCCATTAGGGACGTGCCACGTGTAGTGACCGTTGGGAGGAATGGCTATAAGTTGAGGTGGACCCAGGCCGGGCCTGGGCCCGGGCGGGCTTTTTTTTTGGAAAGGGAGAACCGGAACCGGCCCGGTTCTATGTTTTTTTTAATTTCTAATTAACCTCAACCCCCCCCCCCTCACCCCACCCCAACCCCCCCCAAACACCCAGCCCTAATCAAGAAAAACAAAAAAAATTGAAAAAACCAAAAAAAAGTTTGGGTCGGTTCAAGAAAAACATGGCCCGGCTCGCCCAATCCGCCCCAACCGGGTAAAAGCCCGGGCCCGGTTAGCACCAATCGGGCCGGTCCAAGCCCGCACAGTAGCGGGCCGGGCCGGTCCTGGGCTGGGCCGAACCGGTTGGGTCCATCCCTAGCTATAAGTACCCCTCAACTCCGAAGCATTCCCTCATTTGCGTTCGTTGAGTAATGAAATGATGTCAAATTTTCTAGAGAGAGAAAGCAATCTTCAATTCTTCAAGTGTTCTTCAAATCTTCAAAGGTCAGTTCTTGTCCATTCTTCACGTTTCCTTTTATGTTTTGCTATTCTGGGTTTTAGATCTAGTGTTCTTTAGGAATACTTGCTAATCGGAAAACATATCCCTTAGGTTTGTTTAGTAGTTATGTCGTTCCTTGACGGTCGTAGTGTTCCCAACCCCACTAACTTAACGGCCTCCTTGGACGAGGAGTATTACTCATTTGACGAGGATGACACCGGCCTCCCCTCGGTTTAGATTCAAGCTTGTAGACAATTTTGACATTGAGATGGAGAACACAAGTGAATATAGGACCGAGGACGACGAGGAGCGACTGAGAGAGGAGGCTACCTCAGGCTCGTCTGCTGGGGATGGGGGAGACTCCGGGAGTCCTCGTGGAGAGGATGGTGCCTCGACGTCGGGTGCGATCCCCTATCCACCCCCTATTTCTTCCGTGCAGGGGGATGCCTCTTCGGTTGGGGTCGAAAAGAAAAGGCGTCGGCTTCGTCCTAGAAAAGGCGTGTCTTCGAGGCTCTCCCAACTGGACCTCACCAACTTGTATATCATTCGGCCAGAGGACTCAATTGGTGAGTACCATGTTGCTCAGTTGTATGTGGGATCGTATGGTCGCGTTAGGGCGCCTAAGCTGACGAACCACATGCTTTCTCCACCCGTGGGGTACTTTGGAGTGTACCCCATGAGTTTTGCCAAAGGGTTACGCTTTCCCCTCCATCCCTTCATCACAGAGTATCTCATCATGGTAGGTCTTCCTCCGGCTTTGCTGACGCCGAACAGTTATTCCCTGATCGTGGGGTTCTTGATCCGATGCGTCGAGCTCAAGTTCAGGCCGATGACAGCTCTTTTTATGAATCTCTACCAGATAGGCCGAGGGATTTCCTCCGGCTGAGTTGTTATGTTCCTATGTTTTTTGGAAATTTTTCCAAGTAACCGAGCTTCTTTGCTCGTAGCATTTTTTCCACTTGTGGGGTAGAGTCGTTAGCAACTCGACCGAAGGGATGTTGCTCCCTGCGGCTTGGTGTACTGGATTCTTTTGTTCACCATTTTTAGTAGTTTGGCCTTTAGGTGTATATCCATTGTCCATCGCCCTTTACAATCTTTTCCGTCCATAGTTGTGCGTGGGAAAATCGTTTGTGCTCAAGAAGCGGCCGAGGGAGTGTGGTTTCCTTCGACCTAGACTTGAGCCTTGTATTTTGGCTTGAATCTCCGTGATAGTTTCTAAGTCAACAATTGTGCCACTATGGCCTTGCTTCGTCCATTGAGAGCGGAATTTGCCTGATATGTACTTAGCCAATATTTGTGGCACCGTTTTTGGGGATTTTGCATTTTATTTCTCGAGGCCGGCAAGTGCTCGGTCCGTCACTTTCCCTCTTTATTTTTCTTCTTTTTTTTGACTTCCTCTTTACTTCTTTGAGCGAGGACTACGACCTGTTTACAGGTGGGGCCGAGGGGGTTGCTATTCCTTCGGACAGTGGGGATACCCCGATTTTGTCCATTCCTCCGCTGTCCGCGTGAGCTGAACCGAGGGGGTTGATAGTCCCTCGGTTAAGTGGGATGTTCTCATATCTTGGGGGTTTCCTCGTCTATTATGACGTGAGACCATAATTTTGGTAAGTTTTTGACGGTTGTCGTATTTGGTCCCTCGGGAAGTGGCCCCAAGAATTTGAGTTCGGCTCTCAATGAAAGCACCAAATGATAGAGTATTAACTTAGAGACAAGTGAGAGCTAGAGAGAGAAAGTGAGGAATTAATATTTTTCAACCCTCTATAACTACCCCCTAAGAGTCTATTTATAGTGGAAAATGTGAGTTTGGGCTCTCAGGTCTTGGGCTTGGGAGGCCCTATACAAAATTAGGCTTCTAATGGACTGAGCACATGATTTTGAGACTAAGTGTAAAATCTATTCTGTCGGTGTCTTTTTGGCCGACAGAGGACCAAGTCGAAGGAGGGCCTGACCGACGGAGGACCAAGTCGAAGGAGGGCCTGACCGACGGAGGACCCATTCTTGTTCCTAGGCTTCTGGACTATTCTGATATTCATTGAGTTTGGCCGATGGAGGGCTATCTGGCCGATGAAAGAGCACGTGGGTGCTGGCTGTCTTTTGTATTTGATCCTCTGAGTGTGTGGGCCATGGGGTCTGGGCCCATATACTCTATCAAGTGTTATATCAGAAAACAAAGAAATAATCTATAGGTAAATCACTTTTAAATAAAATTTGTTGTCTCCCCTCTAAAATCACACTCATTACAATATATACATTTGTCTATTAGGAAGACATTATTTTCAACTGGACCGGGAATGACAACAGGTCCTTTACTCTAGTGTCCGTGGAACCTAGGGGCTAGGAAGGCCTTATTTTTGAGATGAAGATTTAATTTTTTTTATAATCCAGGTGTCGGTGATTGCGTTCCCCTAATCCTGGAGTCTATGAACTACCCTCCAAAGTCCCTAAACAGTTAAATCCGGATCTGATCACAGTCAGCCTTCGTCGGTACTGGTTCCACAGGACGAATCCAATAGGACAACCTGTCAACTTAATCCAGCAAGGTCCTCCCACAACGCGAACTCGGTAGGCCTGAATTTCAGGACGAGTCCAGCAGGACAACCTGTCAACTGAATCCTGCAAGATCCTCCTACCACGCAAACTCGATAGGCCTGTATTTCCATCCCCTCCCTTCTTAGCCGCTGTGCAACTTCGTGAAAGTAGGAAGAGTCATTGGGAGCAAGACATCCCACATTTCCCCTATTTGTGCGTAACGGATTTCAAACCCGAGACCTCCACTAAGTACGATAACCTCCCATCCAGCGAGCTGGAATGTTTGGTTTCAGATGAAGATTTAAGCATCTAGATGAAGAGCAACCCTAGAAAGACAGAATCTTTGACATTATGAGAGAAAGATTTGCATGCCCCCTTACTCATTCAAAAAGTTAGTGGCCACATGAATGTCAAACAAAACGTGAAAATGTCTTTCTACAATAAAAAAACATCAAGAAAAAATCTAAAGGTACACACTTTTTACACATGTCTGTGTAAGGTTTTTTTATGTCTGTACAGACATAACGTATTTTTAAAATACGTTATGTCTGTATAGACATAAAAAAAACCTTACACAGACATGTGTAAAAAGTGTGTACACAAAAAGTGTGTACCCCAAGTCCAACTCTATACATCAATTGGTGAAAATAACCACAAAACCTCAAGTAGGGGTGGGCAGAAATAGTGAATCCACATGATACCGAACCGGGCCAGTATGGTACGGACCGATAAACGGGATTTGAAACGGAACTCAATTTTTTTTGTCCTGAACCGGATCGTATCGATTCCAAACAATGTCATTACGGGTTCTCATAAAATAAGAACCGGTACCGGATAAAATTCGAACTATTTTAATAATACTTTAATCTAACAAGTGTAGTAAATTAAATAAGATTCCAACTACTTTAATAAATACTTTAATCTAACAAGTGTACTAAAATTAACTAAAATTTCAACTAGTTTAATAGTTTAATCTAACAAGTGTAGTAAAATGATATTGTGACAAGTAAAGTAAAATCAACTAAAAATGCAACCAATATTAGTATGTAACAAATGAGAATGTAACAAATATTAAAGGTGACAAAATGAGAAAGTTTAACTAATATTAATGAAAAATGCAACTAATGGGAGTGTGAGTGTGTAAGTAATAGGATAAAGGAGTTTTATCAAACTAGGACTGAAAGATAAACAAATTATCAATCTAGGTCCTGAAAGATGAAGCGCATCGATATAAGACCCGAATGATGAAAAACTATCAATTTTGGATCTGAATGATTGAAAACTATCCATCTACGACCTAAGTTATCATAAATTTTATTATTATTTTTTAGTTTACAAGTTTTAAATATTATTTAGATTTTTAAAGGGAAAATTCCCGAAATAGGACTAAAACATTTTCAAAATTCCAAAATAGGACTGTCATGTTTTTTATTCCCAAAATAGGACTAATTACTGTCATGTTTAGAAAATACTGTCATGTTTGAAATTTGGTACTGCCAAATCATGGCAGTAATTAGTCCTATTTTGGGAATAAAAACATGGCAGTCCTATTTTGGAAGTTTCAAACTGTTTAGTCCTATTTTGGGTAATACCTCTTTTTTAAACTAATAAACTACTGTGAAGAAAAGTTTATCAAAAATTAATAATAGAATTAATAAAAAATAAAATAAATCAAAACCTATGAAATGTCAGGTCCTAGATTGATAATTTTCCATCATTCGAGTCCTATACCGACACATTTCATCTTTTGAATCTTCCGGTTTGATAATTAATCTATACCCTGGTCATGGATAAAATTCCCTCACTAAGGATGTTTTTACTTGGACTGTAATTTGCTGGTCTGGTCTGATGTGTAGTGTCTGGTTTTTTTGTATTTTTATAACTATCCAAGTCTGGTCTAGTCCGATGTGCTTTGCTCTGAACTGGTCTTATCTGGAACAAATTACAGTAAAAGCATCTGAGCCTCCGCGCTGGTGACACTAGGGGAACCCGGCGCAGGCGAAAATGCTGGCGAGTTGGCAGGCTCTGTGAACGGGAATGAGGCGAATGTTTCGTCCATCACTTTTGGGTCCGTCATCGTCCATCTCTCAGGGCTTGACGATGTTCAACCGACACTTACCGCCGACATTTCAGATCCTGCGCAGACAAGTTTTTCTACTGACCGGCCATAGACGGAATCAATCCCAACTCTGTGTACGAGGTCTTCAGATGGAGTGGAGAGATCACCCATCGCCACTCACCGTAAAGGGGGGATTCGATCTGAGATTCGAAGGTATGGTTGCAGGGAAGAAGATTGGACAGCACGGTGAGGAATGCTCTGGAAGGAGACGAAACAAATTCAGAGAGGGGAAGACAGCCCCTGGCAGACAAACGTATTTAAGGGAGGGGGAAGCAACCACTAACAAACATCGATTTTTCAGGGAGGACAAAGCTACCTCTGCCAGACCACCTAATTTTAGGAAAGAAAAATCAATCTCAAGGGTAAAAAACAAACTCTTAGCTTCTTACATATCAGACCACTCTAGGAATGGTGACCTGCTAAGGAATAGCCAATGATCACCTGCTTGTCGGAAGTATGCCTTAGGATAATCATACTTTATGATTTATTAATGAATATTTAATGCTCATTAATTAATAAAGTCACAAACTCATTTTATGTTAATTATTATTGTGAGTTTTCTTTATTAATATTTAGTCCCTGAATATTATGTTTAGTAGCTAATTAAGTACGTGACTTGATTTTGGAATGCTACACTTTAAAATAAGCATAATATTCTAATTGTCCATGGTCTAATATTATTAATCTGGGACATTAATAATTAATAGACCATTATGTGGATTAACTGATGGCTATATTCCACTAGTCATGGGTATAGAGATATCAAGTTAATAACATAGATGCTTGTTAGTGAACAAGTTCATTGGACAGACTCAACTTGAGGACACTGCTAGATTATATGTCATCAGTGTTGTCCTCAATAATGATGAGGTGCTATATTCTTATACTTGAGATAATCATGGTCACTTGCATGCGAATTAATATGTATTAACACCATTAAATATTATTTTTAAATGGGTAATTATAAAGGTGGTGATTGTACATATTATGAACCATGTAGTGGTATGTGAATTATCAAGATAGTTTTTTGTCACTCTCGTATAGCGAGAGAAAGATATCTATTGGGCCTCTTGACAAGTAAGATTAATTAGCATGACCATGCTCAAATGAGGTCATTTGTTCAAAATTAATCTTACTTGATAATCAAGAAATATTAATTGAGAATAACAAGGATGACATGACCTAACCTTGTCTCAATTAAGATATCGTTTGGCAAAATAGAATTATTAGCACAAATTAATCATTAAAAGGTTATGTCAGATTTAATTGACATTTATATATTTTGGATAGTCATAATGCCTTGCTAGAGGCCGCTTATGATTTGTGAGACTTGAATTAATTTTTTAGCCCACTGCCAATAATATATAAACCTACAGGGTCACACACCTAAGTGATTTGGATCATTAATGTTCGTTAATAACATTAAAATAGCCTGATTAGCCCAATTCGAAATAGGGTTTCGAATGGTATTGGGCTAGGGCCTCTTGGAGAGTTTTATTAGCTATAAAACTCCTTCTTTCCTCCTCTTATAAATAAGGCTATATAGACCCACGAATTTTAAGAGTTAAAATTCACTTCTAAAACCTAGAGTAGAGAGGAAGAAAGAAGAGAACGCTAGCACGTTCCCTGTTGCCGATCCAATCACGTGCGTGTGGATACCGGTAGAGCTCGGGATCGTTTTCTCGGACTGTCTGACATCCTTGATTAAGATTACTATGTAAGTCCCTCCTCTTATATCTTGTAATTTCGTTTATAGTAAGAACCTCAGATCCGGTTGTTTACTTTTGGGCAGTATTTTTTTTGTTAATTCCGCTGCGTTTTTTCTACCCGAAATCCAATAGTGGTATCAGAGCCTACGGTTCTTTATTATATTCGGGTTACCTGATTTAATATATAATCAGTAATTTGATTATTTTGGGATTTTTCGGAATTAATTTTAATTAATTTCGGAATTAGTTTTTTTATTAATTTCGGAATTTATGTGTATTTATATTCCGAATTTTTTGGTAAGGATGTGATATTCGAATATTTCGAATTTGATCCAATATATATTCACAATTATATTTGGAATATTTTGTGATACTATTTATTATTTTTCGGATCAGATCTGAATGGAATTAGGAATTGGATAAAATCCTACATCCTAATTATTCGGAAGAGTTCTGAATGGACATGAAAATTCAATAGTTTGAGTTGGATCCGAATTGACACTCATAATTTATGTTAAGAATATTTTATGATATTATTTATTATTTTTCGGATCAGATCTGAATGGAATTAGGAATTGGATAAAATCCTACAGCCTAATTATTCGGAAGAGATCTGAATGGACATGAAAGTTCAATAGTTTGAATTGGATCCGAATTGATACTCATAATTTATGTTAAGAATATTTTATGATATTATTTATTATTTTTCGGATCAGATCTGAATGGAATTAGGAATTGGATAAAATCCTACAGCCTAATTATTCGGAAGAGATCTGAATGGACATGAAAGTTCAATAGTTTGAATTGGATCCGAATTGATACTCATAATTTATGTTAAGAATATTTTATGATATTATTTATTATTTTTCGGATCAGATCTAAATGGAATTAGGAATTGGATAAAATCCTACTGCCTAATTATTCGGAACAGCTCTGAGTGGATATCAAAAATTCAATTTTTTTTAATCAGATCTGGTTCAGAATATTATTTTAGTTTTAGGAGATTTGGTTTCTAATTTTTCGGATGAGATCCAAATTATTTTGGCAACCGTCGGCTAATGAGCTGTTTTTGTGGATCGGACAATCTTGTTTTGGCCGTAACTTTTGACTCGTTAATCCGTTTCCGACCCATAAGTACTTTTCGGAAACGGGAAGATGAGCTCTACACAAATCATGGCAAAGCCGTGACAAATCTCCCATATTATAATTCGAATGATTTGATCAAGTGTTCTGCCAAATTCGAATTTAAGTTCATTATATTTTATTCGTATTTATATATGTGTACTGATCTATATTACGGATATGATCTGTACATGTGTATATATAATACGAATTATTTTAGAATTCACTAATATGTATGTTTATTTTTCGGATGAGATCCAAATTAATTACATATTACTTGTGGATTTTAAAATTTAATTTTCAATCCGTGCATGTGCAATTATTTTGTTTCGTCACAGGACAGATTGAATTGGTGGTATAGCATGATCCGAATGTATGTTTTATATTATGTTGTTTTACGGCCTGCGTGTCGTTATTCCGAATATCCCCTGTAATGTTTTCAACCCCGTAGATATTTAGTAGTCTACTGCACAGGTTGTAGATGCCAAGGAGATATTGATATGCACTAGTTTATAGTGCATAAATGTATGTTTTTGTATTTACTTTGTGTGGATTTGCTTTCCTTTTTAGTTAGTTTGTAAAAAATTGTTTTATGTTGTTTGTAATTGTCTTTTGCTTTCATTTATAGTTGTAGAATAGTAGTAGTGTTTTTTAGCAAGGAAAAGGAGAAAAGCTGAAGATAAAAATGGCCAGGAGCACTAACCCGGTCGGGTCATGCACTACACCCGGTCGGGTCTGAGTTGAGAACCAGATCCTTGAGAAAATGGCTAGACCCGATCGGGTCCCATACTTGACCCGGTCGGGTCGGATGTGACCCGGAACACCAGAACGTGCCCAAGATCGCCCGAATAAAGAATATCTGATTTTTTAGTCAAACCCGGCCGGGTCCCCTACTTGACCCGGTCGGGTCTGACTTGACCCGAGACATTTTAACGTGCTGAAACACAAAAACGTGGGAGATAATCTGATTTTGACCGGTACTCGGTCGGGTAAGCACTAAACCCGGTCGGGTACCCGGCCAAAGGTGTTGAAAAACACCTATAAATAGCACACTTTTTCTTCACAAAAAATCATCCCTTCTTCCATTCTCTTTAGCTCAGTTTAGAATAGCATTTCTTTATATTTTTCTAGCTATGTTTAGTCTCCAAATGAGGAGCTAAACTTCCATTCTTGGTTTTGCTCTTGAAGCTTGTTGATTATTAAAGTTGTGAGTTATTTTCTTAACTTCTTCTCTTGATTATTAATTCTTCCCTTAATCTCATTCTATATTAATGTTGGAGGGTTGCTAAGTGACGATTAGTTAACGTTCCGACATTAATTACTACTAGAAACGATCAACGAACCGATGGTTAATCGTTGTTGGTTTTACAAGTAAGTAACTTCGGTTTATTAATGCACGGTCGTGGTTAATAGACTTAAGAGGGATCAATTTTGTTAGTTAAACCGAAACCGTTGTGTTAAGGTTATCAATCTCAATTGATTTCATCAAGGAGTTAAAAAGATTGAATGCTACTATTATATCGGTATACGGCGTTGTTCTATATTTGATTAATAGTAAGGGTTATTAATGAACGGTCGTTGTTAATAACTACCCTCGATGAATTGGAGATACTCCTCGATTGAGTATTCAAGAGGGGATAAGTTATAGATATAACAAGGATCAACTAAAATATATCAACAAGTGTAAAGTAGCAAAGCCAAGTCCCTTTTATTCTTGAATTAAACACATATAGGTTGTTCATCTTAGTTTTTTAATTGAATTAAATCACTCAAAACCAAAACCCCCCTTTTAATGACTAGTTTCATAAAAATAAAATCATTCCTTTCCCTGTGGATACGAACTCTACTACGCTATACTACGTATAAGTGTTTAGTATTGAATTTATTTTGACGCACCTTGACAAAGTGCTCGTCAAATTTGGCGCCGTTGCCGGGGAAAGGCAATTAATTTTTCTTTTTATTTTATTTCAAGAAAAATAAAAAAAAATATATATATAAAGTTTTCTATTTTTGCTGAGCTTTGTTTGAGTATATGGTAAAAACCCGATCCATAAACCAACTCACCTACCAAACAAACCCCGAAATAGAAAAAGCTCTCGAGCGGTTAAAAAGTAAATTCTCAAATACCGACTCGGGGGAATCCTCAAGTGCTAGTTCTCAATCTAGCGAGTCCGAGGAGCCAATATCAATGGCTCTTGAAACAAGAACGCTGAGGGAGCTCACAGCTCCCAATCTAAACCAACAACCCTTATGTATCACCTTCCCAACTCTTGATGCGGGTGCTACATTTGAGTTAAAATCCGGACTCATACATCTACTTCCATCTTTCCACGGGCTAAGAGGAGAGGATCCGAATAAACATCTTTCGGAGTTCCACATCGTTTGCACAAGCATGTGCCCAAACGGTGTTACCGAGGAGCAAATTAAGTTGAGGGCTTTCCCATTCTCCCTCAAAGACACCGCCAAAGATTGTCTATTCTATCTTCCCTCGGGAAGCATAGACACTTGGGCGGCCATGAAGAAGAGCTTCCTCGAAAGGTATTATCCCGCCTCAATCTCCTCATCTCTAAAGAAACAAATCAGCAATGTGGAGCAAAAAGATGATGAATCGTTCTACGAATTCTGGGAACGATTCAAGAAACTCTGTGCGAGCTGTCCGTATCACGGCTACTCGGAGCAAGACCTCATCCTTTACTTTTATGATGGTCTTTGCGATGATGATAGACGGATGAT